GATGATGCAAAAAAGGAAGTTCCTTCTTTGGAAGACCAAGTGGTCTTTATCAGCAAGGATGGGGCACAGACTCCCGCAAAGCAGAAGCTCCAAGCAGATGCCGAAGGGAACGTTACAAACAGACTGATAGGAAACAATGTGCCAGTGATGGACAGCAAAAGTAAAATGCCTCTGAAGGAGAGCAACGTCACCAAAGTGGCCACTTCTAGCAAAACAGTTCTGGTCGGAGCCACAGCGCTGGGGAAAGTTCACAAGGTCAATTTGGCGGACAAGGACCAATTACAGAAAATCAATCAAAACGACAGCTTGATCCCTTTAGTAGTAAGTCCTCAAATGCACAAAGTGTTAACCATTGATAGGACTATTGCCCCAAGGGACCCCAGAGCGGTGGGGCAGTTTGGGCGCCCTGCGGTGGTCCCGAGGGAAAAGCAAGAGGAATCAAAGAGGAGATGGAATGAAGGGAATTTCAACGTCTATCTCAGTGACTTAATCCCGGTGGACCGAGCCGTTGAGGACACAAGACCCTCTGGGTAAGATCTCTTCTTGCATCTCAGAGCATAAGTTTTGGAGCTCATTGGAATTGTTTATTGATCAAATGAATACTTTTGCATGGAGGTAGGTGTCAGTAATCTTGAGGAGCAATGAAAATGTTAACATTTACCAAAAAAAAATTTCCCATTAATTTTAAGGAGAGGCATAAGAATGGGCCTGCACACCTTTCATACACTGGATCGTACTTGTTTACTTTTCCTCCTGCATGCAGGAAACCCTGTTATTTCAAAAGGTCAAATGTGTGTTTCCAGAACTGCAGTTTCTACTTTAATCCCACTATAATGCATATTCATTGGCCTACTTATAATACTCTATTAAGCTTAATATTCGCCTTTTAAAAACACCTAGTATACCAAATCGTTATTTATGATACAGAAATAGTTAATGACTCAGGGCTCTTTTTGTAGAAAAAGCCCAGCAGGAACTCATTAGCATAATAGGCCACACCCAACAGCAGGAACTCATTAGCCTATTAGGCCACACCCCTGACAGCACAGCACATTAGCATATTAAGCCACACCCCCATGTTACCAGAAGTGTGGTCATCCAGCCACACCCACCTTTCCCTTCTTATTCTGTTTACCTTGTTTGTTGTCAAAACCCAGGGCCTTTTTTGTAGCAGGAACTCCTTTGCATGTTAGGCCACACACCCCTAATGTAGCCAATCCTAATGAGTTTCTGCTGTTGGGTGCGGCCTATTATGCAAATGAGTTCCTGCTGGGCGTGGCCAACTTGGGAGCCAGCTGGAACTCCGTTCCTGTGCGTTCCTGCCCCAAAATAGCCCTGCTTAATGTTATTTTTTTTAAAACTGCATAAATAAAGGCTTGCTAATGATACTCTCAACTATTGCCATCATTTGTGGTCTAAAATTCTGCTTTCAAATGAGAAAGAACAATGCTTAACTATCTTTATTAATCACAATAATTATTAGCCCTGATCTGGATGGCCCAGTCTGGCCCAATCTCACCAGATCTTGGAAGCTAAGCAGGGTCAGCCCTAGTTAGCACTTGGAAGGGAGACCACTGAGGAGGTCTCAACACAGAGACAGACAATAACAAACCATTTCTGGTCATCTTATGCCTTGAAAACCCCATGAGGGGTTGCCATAATCTGGCCATGACTTGGCAGCATTTTCCACTCCCAATAATTATTTATCAGACTTACTGTACATTTGCATTCACAGTCCTCTAGTGAGACATCACTGTTATTATCATTTTAAAGTTGAGGGGAACTGAGGCTTGGTCAAATTAACCCAATGACCCCTTAGTTACACAGAATTTCTTAATGCACTCTTTTTTAAACCAGAGCTAGCTAGTTCTGCATCCTACCCTGGCCAGCTATTGGTGTATTACTGCAGATGTCTGAATACACAGGGAACTTGGAAAATTGCCCATCAGATCTGATAGCCTATGTTACTACTGAAAAGGAAACAGCTTTGAATGATATGCTGAACAGTCTGAAAGGAACACTGTTTCTGTAGCCTTAACTGGAGAACAGGGAATTCCTCTTTACTTTGATCATAAAATCCAGAAGCAAAATTCCTGTCCGTACAACCTTCCTTTTCAGCCCCCTTGAAATCAAAAACACAATCTGGCAATTGATCGCAGAAGGGTGTTGGTGTGTACCAACTGGGATTGGCCACTTATAGAATACAAACATCCAGGAACGGATGTAGAGTCCTTCACTTTAGTCCACATCAGCAGACAGCAAACCAGTTTTTGCTTTACTGTTAAAGACATTTAAGTGCATTTTCAAGTCTGAAAGTGTTTCTCACTGTGGGGTACATCTTGAAAAAGTTTGCCTGGCCATTGCAGTGACAAACACAATTTAAAAAAAAACATTATCCTGCTTTTGTACTTTACACTCACTCTTCTTTTGAGAGTCTTGCTCAGGAGTCTTAAAAGCTCTGCATTTTAAGAAAAATGCTGTTCTGGGAGCTTGATTTACCTTATTTTATTTATTTATTTATTATATTTATAACCTGCCCTCCCCGCATGTAAAACTCAAACTTGGGAAACATTGATTCAGACCAGAGTTCCCTCTGCTTAAAAATATGAAATTGCCTAATATGAGAGCTCAGGTGACGTGGCAACCATCGGATATAAAGGATTCCATTACTCTTTCTGTGGTAAAATTTATAGGGGCAATAATTAAATATCAGGCAGATAATATTAAATAAGGCTTTTATAATTTTATTTTCTGGTCAAGGTGATAGCTGTAAGAGCAGTACTAGAGATGGGGTGTGATTACACGCACATTTAGCCGCTCCACAAGAATGAATGCCGCTGGGTAGATTTAAGGGGCACGATCAGACGCAAAAATCTGCCCAGCATCCTGCACCCATCGGCAACCTGTTTTGCTCCGCCGCAGAAGTGGAGTAAAAAGACACTGGGGAAAGTCCAGTAGCAAACGGGTTGCTATGGGCCACAGATGTGCTCTTCCCGGTGTGATCGCTCCAGCGCGCTCTCATGGCGTCGGGATGGTCTGATCAAGCCAGCTGGACTCTGTGCCGTTGTTTTTTCCCCCTTCTCTGTATGTGCATCATCGCATACTGCCGTAGGAAGCCCTCAGTGTGGAGATGCGATTAATTGATCCTCCTTTTAAGGTAATTGAAAACAAATGGCAACAAAAAACCCAACTCACCCGCGATTGTGTCTGATCACGCAGTGGCGGGCTGTGCCCGCAGCTTCAAAGGACTGTGTGATCGCGCAACTGCAGGTCAATTTCCTTCCGGGGTAAATAGCCTCGCTTCCCCCGCGCGTTATGTTGCGCGTGTGACTGCAACCATGAATGGATAGATGGATGGATAGATCGATTCAGGCCAGATACTTGACACCATCGTTAACTAGGGTAGTTTTGTGCAGAATAGCTGTCTCATACAAGTGACTTGCAGCTATTTGAGGGCTGGACAAATTTAAACCAACCACCACGGGTTGGAGCCAGACTATGCTGGCATTATCCACTGATTCTGCCTTCCCACTGCAGACCCCTCCATGCTGTTCAGAGGGGGTGGGGTGTCGGTCCCCTATCCCTTGGAGCAGCATTTCGTGGAGATCAGTGTGCTGTAGTGGGAGAGGGAGCCAGGAAAGACCAGGGTGCAACCCTGAATCACATTAATGGACTGCAATAGGAAGTGTGTTGCACCCCAAATCTTCAAAAGTACATTTGGTTTCTTAGTGGTACTCATGGGTTTTACAGCTCAGAGTCTTTTCTGGTCTTTGTTTTTACAGTCTACCCAAATCCTTTAGTCGTTTGTCAGCCTGGTACTTTCTCACAGCCAAAGTTAACACTAGTAAGGACTGGTTAACTACATGGAAAACATACATTTTGAACCTGGACTTCCAAAAGACTTCTGAACAAGCTGAGTAGCCGTGGGGTGAAATGATGGATCCTTTTATAGGTTAAAATTGGTTAAAGGACAGGATGCAGAGAGTAATAAATAGAAATAATACATTTCGTCGTAATGATTGCATTGACCTGAACCATGTAATTTGCCTTGAGTCTCACTGAGAAAGGTGGACTATAAATAAAGTAAATAAATGGGGGGAAATAAGCAGTGGAGTTCTACACGGGAATGGTGCTATGGGGAAATAAGCAGTGGAGTTCTACACGGATTGGTATTGGGAATGGTGCTGTTTCCTTTGTTCCTAAATCATCTGGAATTGGGGGTGAGCGGTGTAGTGACCAAGTTTGCAGATGATAAATTATTCAGGATTCTGAAAGCCAAGATGGATGATAAAGAACTCCAGGAGTGTCTCCCTAAATTAGATGAATGGGAAACAGCATGCCAAATGTAGCTTGGTTTAGGTAAGTACAAAAGTGATGCACATGGAAACAAAAATCCTAACTTTAAATGTATACTGGGGGGTCAGAATGGACAGCTACTGTGTGAAAAAGAAGATCTTGGGGTTGTAGTGGATAGCTCAGTGCAAATGTTGATTCAGTATGTGGCATCTATGAAAATAAACAACACCGTGCTGGGGGTTATTAGGAAAGGCAATGAAAATAAAATGGCCAATATTGTTTTGTCCCTGAAGAGATTTATGGTGTGGCCTTATTTGGAATACTGTGTACAATTCTGGTTTCCACATCTCTTAGAAGATACCGCAAAATTAGAAAAGTTGTAGAAGAGGGCAGTCAGAATGGTTAAGAGTTTGGAGCACCTCCTTATGAGGAAAAACTAAAGAGTCTGGGACTTTAAGGTTTATATAAAAGTTTGACAAAGGGTCTCACAAGCAAAAACAAGACTATAAAATCATAAAAACAACAACATATATATCCGTTTAAGCAGAAACTTTGAACAGCCTTGAAAATATCAATGTAACTGTCCTCAGACTAGAAGTAGACTATAAAACAATTAAAAACTACTGCATTAAACCCATGGTAAAAGGAAACATTTTGGCCTGTCATCTAAAAGAGAGTAAAGTGAGCCTTAAGGGTGAGGGCATTTCAGAGATCAGGGGCTACCACTGGAAAAGCCCTGTCACTAGCCCCTTGCTTCAGCTGTGTAGGTAGAGTTGCCCACTCTGGGTTGGGAAATTCCTGGAGATTTGGGGGTGGAGCCTGGGGAGGGAAGGACCCTAAGCAGTGTAAAATCCCATTCACTCTCCAAAGCGGCCATTTTATCCAGGGGAACTGATCTCTGTAGTCAGTTTGTTGTACGTCTGGGAGTCAGTCAGTTGTAAATCTGGGAGATTTCCAGGACCTTTCTGGATGTTTGCAACCCTGTGTGTAGGTAGAGGAACAGAGAACAGGGCTTGTAAAACAGATCTTAACTGGTGGGTTGAACAGTACAGGAACAGGTGATCCTATAAGTAGCATGGTCTGAAGCCACTTAGGGCCTTAAATATAAGAACTAGCACCCTGAATGGATGGTACTTAGTACAAAGAATTCTTAATCTCATAATCTAATGCAGTGTTAGCACATCTAAGGCCAATGAAATGAATGAGTTTAAGATCATCTGATTTTGCATAGGAT